ACCAAGCCAGAGCAAACAACTGCAAAAATACTTAACACAAATTACCAACAAAACTACCTAGCCCACTGACACAAGACCTAGACAAAGCAGTACTGCAAAACATGTTACTCCTTACAGTTGCTGGCTTTAAAATCAAGCCAGCCTCTTGCTGCAGTCTTGATTATCCACTCCTTCGGTGGCCACTGCCTCTCAAAGACCCACAAATTTCTAGCCCGCCAGAGCCACCACAAAATGTAAGTGGAGAGTTGGATTCTGTCTTCATAAATATCATCATCCTTCATAGTAATGATCCACCACCACCATTGCTTGAAGGACAATTGCTCTGATTGCACTATGTTCCAATTGACTGGAGCAAGCCTCCACACCCTATCAACTTTCCTGCAGGAGAAAAGGACATGCTCCTGGGTCTCTAGTTCCTCCCCACAAACCCCACATATGTCATCAACTACAACTCCCCTCTTCAGCAGATTTGAACTCACAGGGAGGATATTAGAAACAACTTGCCATATAAAATGTTTTAATTTCTCCATCACCTTAAGCTCCCAAACTCTCCTTCTAGCTCTTCTATTACCTCCAGCTAGCACACTGATTTATTTTATGTAAGTGAAATCAATAATTGATCTAAATCTATTGACTACAATTTTCAAAATTTTTCAATCAATTATTTTATTTCTACCTAATTTATTTTAATTTTTATTGATATGCTACCATAATATTTCAAGAAATATTGGTTAATAAAGTTTAAAGTTTGTAATTTAATTCTAGAAAAATAGTTGATAAATTTGAACGATAAGGTAACCGACAACAACTCTAGAACATTACGAGATTATATATATAATATATTCATAAATCAAATATATAATGGAATTTAGTGTGTAGTCCAAATTTGAGTTCCAAACTCATAAGTCAAATAAGTAATTATTCATAACTTACAAGTCAACATTAACTTTGACGACGTAAATGAAATTGTCATTTATTCATGGTTTAATAAATTACTCAACCACTTCAAGTTTATTATTTGAATATTTTATATAAAAACAAAATCATCTAATTAATGAAACAATATAAGATAATTATACTTCTTATTCACATATATTTTTAAATAGACGAGAAAAATTGACAACTTACCTATAAATTCGATATAAAAAATTTCGATTGTGTTTTTTATTCCAAACAATCAGATTGTCGAAAAAGTATTTTCTTAGAACTTGAATTGAAAATTTGAAATTCAAAATCCCTTCTCATTTTAGTTGCCATAAAATTGGGTTTAATTCAAAATCTCTTCCTAATATAAAAGATTTGTTCAAATTGAATTTTAAAATATCTAATCACATGCTTCTATCCATATACTTAAATGAAGGATTTTGTGCCACTTTAAATCAACAAACCTCTTGGAAATTACAAAATCATAATGAATTTCTATTTTTTTGGTTTCAATCAACACGAAATGCAAAATGGTTTAAGAATTTCAAGTCAATTGGAATTCATCTCTTTAATTTTTTCCATAAGTTTCAAAGTTTTACAATAATTAAGTCAAATTACAAATGCATTGTTTTAAAAATCAAGAGGATAATTTAGAAAATAGACAGACTTTTTTTTTTCAAAATTGTCTTAGTCTCCATTCAATATAAAATAAATCCCATGTTATTTGTAAAATTGATAAATCTACATAAAGCGTGGAATTTTATGACTACAAATTTTTTATTTTACAGTAACTAAAAAATAATAATAATTTTGAAATCTTCTGTACTCAAA